GGGACGTGCCCCCATCCCAGCTGGAGTAAGACCGGGGCCGGGGGGATCCGTGTGCCCCCCCCCCCGTGTCCGTGAAGCACCGTGACGCTCTTTGGGACACCCAGTGTGAGGGGGTGAAGGGGGGTGACCCCGCTACAGGCACCCCGAGGGTGGTATCCCGAAGGAGGTATCCCCACTCCGCTCTCTGACAGCACCCCAACCTGTGTTTTTACCCAGATTTAGGATTTTTCTTTAAGTTTTAAGCTGCTTCACCATCTGCATGAGGCTGACACAGGCGCCGCGTTTCACCAGGAGCAGAGGGAAGGAAGGCAGGCGTGTAGGGCTCAGTGAAAGGATTAAAGCCCCAAGGACAAGGGGATGCTGTAAATAAAGGTATTTTTCCTTCTGTTCCCTGAGAAGATAACGACCTTAAGCTCTTTTTCAGATAAATTAGCAGGTGCCCAGGCACACGGGGAGGAATCGGCACCACAGCTCCCCACTGAACCGTTGCTCCAGCGTGGGCTAATTAGGAAGTTTTCACAAAAGGCCAGCAATTAGGCCTGTCCACGCCAGCCAGTCCATGCTGTAGAAAACAGCTCAGCGCTTGAGCTGCTTTTTAGAAGCGGCCCCATCTCCCCAGTCCACAGGGCCGTCGCGCGCTGGCTGGATCGGTTCGAGATCACGCACAGGGCTTCCGTGCGCTTAGAGGGAGATGGAGGTTTATCTCCTCCTCTTTATTAATCAAATACCAAATCAGCCACTCATTACCCGTACGAGTGCCAGGTTGCTCTGTTTCAGCACAGGAATGACTTTTTCCAGCTGGGTGGAGGCAGCTCCTTACAAAACCTCCAGCGCAAGCACTGTACGGCGCAATGGCAGCCACAGCTCACTGAGGTTTTTTCCTTCCCATTTATGATTGCTTTTTTTTCACTTGCAATGGATTGTGAATGACCAGATTTTGCATGATTTATGCACATCTCACAGCTCTGCTCCGTAAGCAAAGCCAGTCTGCGTTCCCATGCGACAAGGTGGTGTTCGCTGTAAGACCAAGAGTCTGACCTCAAGCATCATAGCAAAAATTCTAGTCTAGGTTTTGAGGGAAGGGAGCACAACAAGAAGCAGAAGTATTAGCAACTGTTGTTTCACGACTTGGAGGTTACATGAAGGGAGAGGATCTCTCCAAGTCAGACAAATAAGAGGCGTATGAGTCAGAGCAGGCTGACTCCATTTATTGTGTGAAATGCCTGTGCTCTCTTGTCCAACCTGTCCTGCTCCCAGCCCTGCTGGAACTGCATGTGATCATGCGAAGTTATTTACCGAGTCTCCTCAGGTAGCCTCCAAAGCTATTAGATTTTCCCTTTTGATAACATTTCCTACAGATTATAAAAAATAAACAGCAGAGATCCCAAAGGGAGGAGAGGAGCACCGTACTTCTAGCGAGGTCTGACTGTACGCAAAGAAAGGAAGTTCTCATTGTGACTAAGGGGCCATGCTGGGATGAAATAAAACACTCTTCAACAGTGAGGTACTGCTAAGTGAGCTAGAAGACAGTCTGACATCCAAGAATTAATTTTCTCATGTCTAATATTTAGTCAGTCTGTCCGAAGCAGAGTAACTATGAGGGACAGACATAAATGTCAAGAAGTCCATTACTATGGGAACAATATTAAGGAATACATTGCTGCGACGCTCGGGAATAATACCTTGTAATGATGGAAAACTAAAGCAAGAATGAAAACTTTCACCACATACTTCATTTCTATTGATAAGGACTATTTCTATCAATACATTTTATAAATATCAGCATGCATAGATATATTTATTATCTATAAATACACACTTATTTTAAGTATAAACATACATACTCTATCTCCTCAGCAGATTTCTTCTTCTGTGTCTCTGTCTGTCCTGAGGGCATAGCTCAGAATTTTTTAAAGATAAAGCCTGCAGCCGACCCTGCCGCATTCCTCCTTGCCGTCCTGCGCTCTTCACCCTGTTACCGTGAGCATCCCTCCCACTGCCTGAGCAGCCCCACTGTGCCCCTCACCCTCCTCACCATCCTCCTGACACCACCCCATCCTTCCCCATATTCCTGCCTAACACCTGCCATAAATTCCTCTTTCCAGCTCGCTTGCCCAAAATCTCGGATGTTGCCTCTTTGTTCTCTCTGGCCTGGCGAGGAGTTCCCACCTGGGCACCTGGGCTCCTGCAGCCTGCCAGCTTTGTGACTGGTTTCTGCCATTTTGAGCTCAGCAGCTTATAATGAGGACAGTTTATTTCCGAGAAACAACATTCAAGTGTATTAACAGCTCCCGTTCATTTTCCCTGCTGACTCGAGAGCTCTGCGAGCGGGGAGGTTGTGCCTTGGTTCCCTTCTGCTTCCTTGGCCGTGTGAAAGCCCACAGGCTCTACACAAAACCAGTTCTCCCTTCACTTGTAGAATTGACCCAAAGCACGTTTATCACCTCGGAACAAAATTCTCAAGGTTTTATCTATGCCATAATTTCATGTAAAAGTTGTTTTCCATGTTTCAGGGAGCTGAGTAAATCATCAGCTTGTCTGACCTAGTTACTTCTCAAAAGACTTGTCACACATCAGTGTCCTCAGGCCTTTTACAGCCACTAAATACCTTCCACTCACCTGGGATTATCTTATCCTCGTTTGATCTTGTAAGCATGGTCCCACATGTCTGCTTACGGCAGAGCCAATCTGCTTGCTCTGCTGATAATCCTTGCTATTCTTTTATGAAAGTTTATTCTAGATAGTCCAGATTTTACTTTGCAGGGGGTTTAGTCATATTCTGACATCATTTTTCTCAGACTTACTTTTATCCAAATAGTGCTACTACTGATAGAGCTCCCTTAATTATGTTCTCGAAAGAGCATCATTTAGCTAATTTTCTTATTACCAAAGATGGTTTAAAGCTAGCATTAGAGCTTATCTTTTACCAACCATTGAGGTTAGCCACCTTGCAGTGGTTCCCGTTGGTACCTTGCTTAATTTCTCACTGGCCAACCCTCAAACTTGCCCCTAGTAAAAGCAATTTTCAAGTGAGCTGTGTGCCATAACAGCTAGTGAAAAATTCATTCATGCCCAGAGTTACCCAGGTTTGCCCTAGCCTAGAAGGGGATATGTGTTTAGCAATTTCCTTATCTAAACATTCCTGCATCTCAAGAGTGCTATATATTTATTCTACTGTAAATATAACAATGATAAATCAGTGGAGTTTGCACAAATTAATGAAAATACAGCAGACAGTTCTAGAGTTTACCAAAGCTTTGGGTTTTTTTTTTTATCAGCTCTTCAAATCCAAAGTACGGATCTTGGAGACATTCAGTAGGAGAAGGCTGTGCTTTCCAAGCTCACTGATTTCTTTATCATTAGTCATATTGATAAAGTATTTTACCTCTAGGAAATCTTAATTCTCGGATAAAGTTAATTATAAAATCCTCATTTGCCTAGTGATTATAAGAAGTAGCTATTTGGGTGTCCAATAAACAATATGATGTAAGCTAGCATAATTTTAAGAAAACTGTAAGTATTTTCATCTTTTCTAACCTACGTCTTTATATCAGTGACGCTTCTCAATATAGAAAACTATAGTCGGATTTGTGACCCTATTGGGAATCTCTCCAGATCTTTCTTTTTATAGAGCATTCATTTTTTAATACTATACCTCATGATATTTGATTCCTAAGATGTAGGGACTGATAATGAAGAGCTGTCTGCTATCAGATTTTTAAAAGAAATAAAGAAGATTTAAACTTTTAATTTGAACAATTTGCTTTGTTCTAAGTCATGACCAAGGGAGATGTATTTGCTTCAGCACAGGTCCTCAAAGGTATTAGGCTTTTGCAGCATCCCAGGTGTTTCCCACACTGAGGAATTCTCGGTCCTGCCTTAAGCACTGAAACATCTAATATTACTCACCAAAGGGCTGCAGAGGGAGATTGAGCATCGCCCGGATACGTCACTGCTGGGGTTAGCTCTACCACATACCCCAGTAAGATCTGTAGTGATACGAGGTCAGTAAATCACCCCGAATTCCTCCTGAGCAGGGCAGCACGGTTGTGCAGACGCGCCAGGCGAGTGCCACGCTCCATCCTCCATCCCTGGGGACGGCCGTGACCCAGTGCTCGGGGTCTGGGCTGATGGGAGAGGAGGGCACCGCTCACTCTTTGGGATGCTGATGGAATTCCCCTTCTCCGGAGGTTAGGGCTGGAAAGGTCCTGCCTGGGAACAGCAGCTGAGCCATTTTCCCACCCTCGCCGGTTCAGTGGGGTGCAGAGGAGGCAGGGTGCTGGGCATCAACCACACGGTGCCCTCCCCTTGCTGTGGATCCAGGTTATTTCTCCCAGCATAAAAGTGCCACGGGGAGAGGCTGAGAGGGAGCCGTCTGCCGTATCCGACGGCGTCCTGACAGCCAGGGCTGTCTCCCACCGCACGGGAGGCTGCGGCTCAAACCCCTGCTGCAGCCCGAGGAATTAAACCTGGCTTTCATGTGGCCGATGCTGCAAATAACAAGTTGTTGGGGACATGGAGACGTGCGAGCCCTCTCATGCCTGGCGTGCCCCAAACGTGCCTCAGCGGGGCCGAGGGGCAGAGCAACATCTGTCTTCCAGGGTCCCACTTTTCTGTGGGCTTTGCTTTAGGGGCTCTGAGCAGTGGGGGTTGACTCAGAGGCTCTCGGACCCCTCTCCAGCTCAGGAAAACTTTCCGGACCCAGCGTGTTCCTGGTCCCTCAGGGAGATGGATCCAGACTCCTGCAGAGAGCTCCCATTCCTTCCCAGGGTCTTGCCCGCAACGCTTCAGCCTGATGTGAGGTTTATCTAAACCCCATAAAGATGAAGGAAACGCACGGTTTGCATCTAATCCTAA